TGTATAGTAAGAGTATAGAATGTTTTGAAAATATATTACTAATTCTATTAGTAATAATTTTTGTATAGACTTTGTGAGTGTGTTTAATGAGACTTATTGAATGAGTAAGATTAAGGTCTCTATTGAATGTGTTTCATAACAACATCAGGATGTAGTCCAAAATTTACAGGATCAACAATTTGTGTAACATGTGAATATGATTAATTTGATTGTTTGTGTAACATTTATCAAATTGTAACATCATTAACATTAACATATCTTCATTAATTTATTATTAACTATTTGTATTTAAAAAACAATTAATAAGTATAATAGATATTTAAATAAATGTATAGTATTTAGCTTTATGTATTGTATAGCGTAGATAACAGGCGAATATAAATTAAAGAAGCAAAAGTATATAATATAAAATAAATTTAATAAATCTTAGAGCCAAAATAATGGCAATATCGTATATTGGTCAATAAATCTTAGAGCCAAAATAATAGCAATAACAAATATTACATTGTATATTGATTAATAAATCTTAAGAGTCAAAATAATAACAGTAACAAATCCTGTATTACTAAAGGAACATATTATATGGAATTTTATCATTCAGAATTATATTGCGTGAGGCATTTAGAGTAAATTTTATAACCTGTCTATAGGGATTTTTCTGCTATAAATTCATATCAATATTAATGTATTAAATATCCGATGTTCGTATGTAGCAGAAGAATAAAATTATGCTACTAACAATTAAAATCAATTCATTAAATTTAGCATATTAAATGTCATCTTTATTAATTGACACCTAAAGCAAATTAACTAATGAATCATTATAGATTCTAATAGTTCAAATTCTAATTATAAGTTCTTCAAATTTATTCAACAAACTCAATTTGTGATTATTATAAGCTATGATCATGTTATTATAGCTAAACCTTCAGCAGGTTATAATACTTTATGCTCTAATTTGTATGCAATATATAAATTAAAAAAAAACTGTTGAATATTAATGTATGTAGAAACTTTGTCTTAATTGCTTAATATCATCTTGAAGCTAAAATATTAAATAAACAGTTAAACATTAATGGATCAATATAATTGTGATATTACCTTATTGCATGAATAATTTCCATGGCTTTGATTCCTTCAGAGTTTCCCTGCGCTGTCTTTTGTGTTGTGAAGATTCAATATCATTAATAATGTTAAACGTACGTTTCATATTATTAATTACACCTTCTATATGCTATAGGTTATTTTTTGATAGTTCATTATTTAAGTGTTCCACAAGATGTTCCAATGTAGAGGCCTGCGTTGGGTCCCGCAGCCTGGGCCTGAAGCAAAATTTTATAATTGCAGGCCGGGCTGGGCCGAAAAATTTGCAAAATTTTATAATTGCAGGCCAGTGCAGGCCTAAAAATTTGTAAAATTATATAAGAAATTTTTGCGGGCCAGGCCAGGCTGAAGAAAAAATTTGACATATGCGGGCCGGGCCAGGCTAGCAAAAAAATGGTAACCCTAAATGTGGGCCGGGCCGGGCCTAAAAAAATTTTTTAATCCTAATTGCGGGCCGGGCCAGGCCTTAAAAATAGACAATTTGCAGGCCCCTATTCCAATGCACTTATTTTAGATTCACAGTATTGACGAAGCTCTGGGTCAATATTTTCATCATTCACATTTTTAACATAAAAATTATTTCTTAACATATTTTCTTGTGTTGAGGATTTTGTATTGGCATCCATACAGGTATTAAAAGGTGAGTCTTGTATTCTATTACTATTACCATCCCAAATTAAAAATGAGTAGTCTGTACATCGTTTAAAATTAGAATATACTAGACAGACACCCTCAGAATCATATGTTTTTGCATGTTCAATTGCATTGTGAATCAAATGTTTACAGATCAATAAACAGCTATTAAGAAATGATGGGCAGCTACACACCCAATTTGGTAAATCAGTTTTGTAATTTTCTTTAGTACTATCAGTAATTGGTTTTGATGCAAGCCACTTCCATTCCTTTTTAAAATCATTAAACCATGATGGAAGTACAAGACCAAGATACATTTGCTGAAAATGATTTACTTGATCAGGAATTACACATGAGCAGATAATCTATACAAGATAGTCCAGTCTAGGTTGATTAAAGCGATAGAGATAAGAGTGCTTAAGTACCCTCCAGTGTGACTCTATAAGCATGTTAGTTTTTCCTAATGGAATCATTGGCCATGTTGAGCATGCCCAGAGGCACCACCATTCCATTTTATACCAGGAGGACCACAAATACGTCCATAATAGAGGAAGTTTGTTGATAAAACAAAAATCATAAATTTCATGTACTGCGCTTTTTCAAATATCTTCAGGAGTTAAGGACTAACCATCTGCATTGACAGAAATTTTGGGATGCAAGTTAAAGTGTTTTTTAACAAGATTAAGAATATGTTGTCTAAGATTTTGTGAACAGATTTCATAAGATTCTGGTTTATAATTTTCCAAATTTGGTTTAAATTTTGGATCAATAAAGTCGAATTCTGCGATTACATCTTCAACTTGATAATGATACGCTGAACTTTTTTTTTACTCTTAAGTTTTAAACTCAGTGCTTTTTTCATGTACCACAGGCACAGTTGTATAGTTGTTTCAGGCCAGGTAGCTTTTGCTGAATTTATTTCAGCAAAATCTTTATCTTTGTAAAAATACTTAGGATATAAATCTCAGCTATAGATTGAATTAAAAAAACCTGAGAGTGCATACGTTCGATTTTCATTTTGTGAATTACTTTCAGAAACTCCTATAATTGAAATAAGCAAAAAAAAATAATATAAATAATATGAACTGTTTATTTATACGTATTATTATTATGATAATCCCTGATCACTATATCAAGTTCATGGAAGTATTAATTAATAATATCCTGACTGCATATGAATAAGCAAAACTTCATTCCTAACAGATCAGAATATTATTATTACTAATATATAAAAATTGCCTATCTTACCTGTAGTATCTAAAATAAGATATGCTAATAGGTATCCTGAGCCTTCAAAGTTACCAATGAGTCTATATAACTCGAATCTTCCTTTTGCAGTCTTGTAGGTTACATCACAATAGACTTCAGTAACATACTGATTATTCTTAGCATTAAGTAAAGGTGTTGTAAACCCGATTGCTGTTATTTGACGATTTATCAGCTCAAAGCAAAGTTCACAGCCAGACGCATGACCTGATAAGAGAAAATTATGTGCTGATATAATATAATTTTTATCTGACTTGTAAAAATTTTGAGAAAATAAAGACCACCAATAATGGATTTGTTGCATTGTAATTTTTGATGTATCGAATTTATTACGAAGGTAGGTTCGAAGCTGTATAGGATTCAAGTAAAGATTCATTATAATTGCCTGTTTAATTTTCATTGGTGTTGTGACGTTAACTGGCCTCTCATGGATGATATCATGTCTAAGCTTTACAATTATTTTTGATGCAAGAATATCAACTTTTAGTGTTAACTTTCTATGACAATCAAAACAATTCATTTTCTGATGATTTGACTCTTTATAATCATGTGCTAATTCATAAGATTAAGAACAGCCAAAATAAAAAGTATCGACATTCTCATGACAAGTTGAAAGTCGAGGTGCTGTTTTGATTCTTATAAGATTTAAATATGTTAATTATTAATATAAAATAATTTTATTGCTAATTATATTTAACTATATACATCTAAGTATAAACATCACCTTCTTCAATATTATGAGTAATTATATTTGCTATTATTTTAAAACTTTGATCATCCAAAATAGAGATATCAGTGATTTCAACTTGTGCTATAAGAAAAAGTCTGGTACTAGGCTCAAGATTTTCAATTGATTCTGTAATATATTCACTCAAATCCTTCAGTGAAATTAATTCAACATCATTTTGAGTATCACCACCTAATGTAGTATTTTTAATGGCCCTATGGTTTGCTTTTTTAACCAAACAATCTGCACATGTTTTATATGTTTTTCTATTATATACAAAAGCTTCAGGTGGATACTGACAAGAACAAGAGGTACATTTTTCTGTCATTAGAAGTGAAGCAATAAGGTACGTAATACTGATTCTTTATTAAATGATAATAAAACTTAAGCAAATTGAATTAAGAAAAAAAAAAAGCTGATCATTCTCTTATATAATAAATGTTTCACAGAGTTTAATTTGAAATGCACAATAATTAATGTACTAACTAAATTTGGTAATACTAGACATTGTTAGAAAAAATCCAATAAATGAGACTTTAGCAGCCTTCATAATTGTTGTTACATTTTTAATTATTCATGATAATATTAGATACAAACTGTATTCTGCTTTATAAGTTTGTTTTGTGTATGTTATAAAGAGTTTTGAAACCTCTGGAATAGAGATTTTGCAACAAATTTTTTTCACTTTCTAATTTTTGTCATTGTCTACTTCTTAATATATACATTTAGTTTATTCAATTCTGAAATGAAGTGACGCAATGCATAATTACCAGTACTGCTCACTTCACTGACAGTCATTTTACTGAAAGTTCATTTAGTCGACATCACATAGGGTTAGAGTTAGGGTTTTATTAGTTTCAGGTATATATTTTTAGTAAATTGTCACTTGGTGTGATGTCAGCTAAATGAGCTGTCGATGAAATAATTGTCAGTGAAATGATACAGATTCTATAATCACTATATTTGGTATGTCCAGAGTCACATACATTGTAATAGTCAAAATTTCCCTCCCCAGTGTATTACTATCTGATGTATGTTGTTAGAATTTGAATTGGTCTCTGGATCCCAATACTATGGTTCATTACTCTATTTTCAAATTAATGTCTGTTTTAGTTTAGAAAGAAAAAAGGATGTGGCTTGTAGCTAGAATAGGAAATTAACTTAGTAAAAATTGAAGCATATACACTTTAGGCTATGTAAATAGGATGATTAAAGTGTATATGCTATCAGCTATGTATCGAGTTGGCTGAAGGAAATCAGAGTGTATAAACAATATTATATAGAATGTATATGCTTTAGATAGTAAGGTGTATATGTGATGTTAGTAGAGCATATATGCTATGAGGCTTTATAAATAGAAAGTAGTGAAATTATTTTCTATGAAAATAAAATGTATAAATAGAAGTCTTCTTAGCCTTCCCAGAAAGTTAGTTATCGATTGTTGTTAAAAGAAAGTCTTATTAAATAAATCACCATTACCTTGTAATTAAATAACTTTCTCTGGCCCTATATTAAAATTACTTTAAATTCAATAAATAAATAATCAATTCCTCATCATGTTTGTTGATTAATGAATAAGCCTATATGCTGGGTCTCTTATTTAACATAAAGGAAGTAAGCATTAAGGCCGAATAGACCTTTCTCTAAATAATTAAGAGTCATATAGTGGATAATTAATATATTGATGTACTAACACAGACCGAGTTCATCTTGTATTAAATTATTATTGATAGTGTGATTAATGTTTAGATCACTATTAAGTTATTTTAATTTATTTTTAAGTTATTGATTTTATTATAGTACATTTAAGAGAACATAATTTTCTTATTATTATTAAATTAAGTTATCCTAATCCATCCTTATAGCATTACCTCATCTGATTAACCACCATTATCATTATTATAAATATACTAACGTCTCCCATAGTTGTACTTACCCTAATTAATAGTAAATTAAATTATTATAACCTGTATCACATTAACTATTGGAGCTAAACTGTTCTACGATATTTGCTCTCCCAATTTACAATAGTAACAATGTAGCACAGTATTCAATTTATTTTTTATTTTGTTTATTTTATTTTTAGTATTATTTGTATTATTTGTATGAAAATGAGAGGATTGTCAAAATTGGTACAAAAAAATTATAGTACATAATGAAAAGAATTATAAAAATTATAGTAACAAAAAGAATTATAAAATAGAAAAGAAGGATAAGTACTGATTTTTAGTCTGAAAAATAATGTATATAAACAGCAATATTTACCTTCAAAAAAGAATAACTCAGTGGAGTTCAAAGCTCTAAGTTAAAGAAATCAGAGTATTTAACTTACGATTCACCCTTATAGTATAAAACTCTGTGTAAGTTTGAAACTTCAAAAGTTCTTTAATAGAAAAGTTTGGTTCTACTAATTCCCTCCCCCAATAATTAAAATCTGTAGAAATAATTAGAAGTGACAAATTCTGTAATTCTGAATAAGGAGATTCATGATGTAATCAAGAGCTCTAATCCAACACTATTGCTAAGAACCCAATTCACCTTAGTTACTCAGACCGAGTCTTTCCATGCCTTGATCAAAGTCTTACCAATACTAGAGGTTTGGTTGTATTAGTTGTGGTGTTTTGATTAGAGTAGTTTTAGTATTGTGTTGTATTGTGTATTGGTGTCATTCAGAACTCAAGGATTTTTTCCTTTTACAACATAAAAACTCTACAAAGCAATTTTGAATTATGATATTCAATGTAGTGATGCTTGACGGAATTGATTTTATTAGTAGACAAAATTGATTTTATTAGTAGATGAAATTAAACCTGATGAAATAATGAAACTCTTAGCGAAATTATTTTGATCTATAATTATTAGTAACGAAATTAATTTTAAATTAGAATATTATTCTAGGAAGTATACTGTCTAAGTTTATAGAAATTTTCTTGGTGTTTATATAAATTTTTGGCACAATCGCAAAATGACGAAACTATTCGTCAATTCAAAAATAATTTTGTCAAAGATCTATAATTCAATGCTTGGGTTTGAAAGAGAAACTATGTATGCTTTACTCTTGGCATATATATTTAAATTACCAAACACGATCATAACAAAAAGATTTTTTTTTTGTTACCAAAAAATTTAAAGCGAAACATTTTCTTTTTAACTTAATTATTTATGCAATAGAAGATTAAATTAAAATATAATACAAAGGTCATGTCTTTCAAGCATACATATGTACATATGTACGTACATATTAGGATAGTAACTCAACTAAATAAATCAAAACTATGTTAGCAATATTAGTATTTTTACAATGATCAGATTTTTTTAGCAATGAAATTAAAATGATCGATTAAATATTTACTTTATTTAATTAATAAGAAAAGCACAAAATTCTAAATGATTCACCTTGATATTGCACTTCTCATTCTAATTTTTTTTAACTGAAAACTTTTTACAAGGACTATACCTAAAAAGTTATGTTTAATTTTTGCAAAAATTCTAGTAAAACTTCAACTTGTATGTTTAAGATACAAAATTTTTTGCTCTAATTAATGAAATTTAGATGTTTTATAAGACAAATATTTAAAATTTATATATTAATGGAAAATTCTAAAACATAGCTTTATTCTCCTACATATAATAAACTTCTAGTAAAAATTTCTAGGTAATTCCTCAAGTTTCAGTGAGCTGAATTATTTTAAAGTTGATTAATTTTTAATAAATATATTAGTAGTAGTTAACGTTAAATTGATATTGATATGTTATATGGAGATTTTTATTCATGTAACATGAAAATCTGTAATATATCAAATTCCATAGTTTGCTCACATAGTTTTGATTTATTTAGTTGAGTTACCATCCTAGTATGTATGTATGTATAGATATTTTTTTGATTACTTATATTAGATGTTATACGAACAATAAAATTAATCGTATTCACATGTTACACAGATTGTCGATCCCAGAAATTTTGGACTACATCCTAATGTTGTCATGTTTCATTTAGAAATAGGTTAGATTCTGCTATGCTTCCATTGTTTAGAAGTTTGACCTGAAACAAGGCAGCGATTAAACAAGGCAGTTATGGCTTTAATGCAGGTAGTGCCAGCATGTTTAAGCATTTCATAACTAATGCCTGTAGGACCATAGGCTTTTCTATTAGGAAGCTTTGCTATAGTTTGAGTAACTACTTCTTCAGTAATAGGAGAAGAAAGATAGTCGTACTATTGAGTATTGATATGTGATAGTAGTTGATATTGTGCAGACCAAATGTTATTAAAGAGGGTTTAATCAGTTGGTCAATAAGCTGTCCAGTTATAAAAATGAGATTGTATATAATGTTTAATAAGGTTTGGGTCTGTGATGATTTGGTATGGAAGTTTGATGTTAGAAAAATGAATAGAAGCTTTATAGTGATTAAGAATACTATTAATGACATGTTTGGAATGTGTAGAGAGTGTTTCACATTTTTTTTCAGTAGCTTGTTGAATTTGTTGTCGAAGCAAAAAAGAGTTTTCAAGATGATGAGCATAGTAGAGTTGTTTCCAAATATCTTGTGCATGTTGGATCCATTGGTTGAGTTGTGAATGTTAATAAGAGATAAGGATATTAATGTTGCATTGTGATCTTGAATTGATATTTTGAATTCTTAAATTAATTTGATTAATGTTAAGATTGTTGTTAGGATTTTTCAAAATTTTGATTAGATGACCAAGTTCTTTAAGTGATAAATGAAGTGAAGTACTATGGAGAGAGTATTGGTAATTATAGCTATGTTTGTGTGATTTTTTGTTAGGGATAGA